TTTCTTAAGCACAACATTCATGTATGCTCCCTGGTGCATGTGCAGGAATTTGTAAAAATGTCACAGCAAAGAGTCCTCAAACAGGAAAAACAAGATCTGACTGCCATCACTCAGTCATATGCCAAATGAGCTGTCAGACAAGCTGATCTGATGTACAAGGGGGACCCAAGCATAAAGAAGATAATCTAATACAAATCTGCAGCTTCAAGATGATATTTGCCAGCTATTTAACCATAGCTTACAAGTAACAAATTCAATGAACTTGAATGTTTACAATAAGAATTGGGAATGCGGCCAAGGATGAAGCTACTAGGAGTAAACAGAAGTTAATATGCAAAAAAACAAGGGCAAATATTGGTAAGCTGAACTCCAGACTGACAATGACAAAAATGCAGATCTGTATTCAGGAGTACATTAAATGCATTTTAATGCAATTAGCGCAAGTAGCTAAATTGACTTTTCATCAGCCCCTTGCAGCTTACTATACAGCAAACCTCGGAAGGATACCAGCAAACATAGTACGCTGTTAGGAGGAGAGAGCAGGGTGACAGATGAGCTCATCACCATGCTCATCATAAATGTGAACATTTTCCATTGAAAAGCAAGAAGGTAAAAATGTAGATGGTACCTAGTATCAGCTCCTCTCGTTAAGGTAATACCTGCTAGGGTCTAGACTAAAACTGTGTTGATTTATTGTAAGCATACTTCCAGTTAAACATTTTTTCCTATACTACTGGAATAATATTTAATTTCACTCACACAAAACTATAGCATTTGCTGGAACCTAGCACAGCAGTGTAGAAAATATTATTCTGCAGCCGTAGTCCGCCATATCAGAAGTGCTGGCCTGTAACGTCCAATGTGCACCAAGGGCACTTTATCATAAGGCACAAGAACAGACCTTATACTGGTTCAGGCATGAAGCCTTTGTACCAAAAGGGTACAAAAAAAAAAAAAAGGCTTTATCCAGCCTTTTCCGTCATTCCAAAAGAAACTTGACAAGTTAACTTCCGAAATTCCCTTTTTATGTAGTTCAAATTTTTAAGTATGGATGTAATGTAAAGTCTTTCTTTGGCTGGTTTTGCTTCATGGACTGAATGGCAGGACTGGTTCAGTATCCCTGACAACCTCCTCAGGTGGAAATGGATCTTCCATGATTACATCTAAAAAAAAAAAAAAAAAAAAGTATATATATATTAAAAAAAAAAAAATCTACTTTCAGTAGGTTGGTTTTAAAACATATTACCCCTTATGTTTTCTGTTTACACACAACAGTTTATACACATTATAGATCAGCTGTGGCTAAGTATATGTAGGTTACAGAACTTACCCAATAACCAAAGTTTAAACATTAGTGTACACCGATCAGCCATAATACTATAACCAATGAGAGGCAAAGTGAATAACATTGATTATCTTGTAACAAGTACATCCTGAAAGTAAGTAGCAAGTGTACATGATGTACCTTAAGTTGATGTGTTGAAAGCAAAAAAAAAAAAAAAATAGCAAATGTAAGGATGTGAGCAACTCTGATAAGGGCCAAATTATAAAGGCTAGATGACTGGGTCAAAGTAACTCCAAAACTGTGGCTCTTATGGGATGTTCCCAGTTTGTAGTGGTCAGAACCTACCAGAAGAGGTCCAAGAAATGAGAACCAGAGACAGGGTCATGTGTAGCCATAGGTCACTGATGCACATGGGAAGCAAAGGCTGGTCTGCATAGTCCGATCCAATACAAGAGCTACGGTAGCTTGAATTGCTGAAAGAGGTAAAGCTAATTCCAATAGAAAGGTGTTCGTACACACTGCAACACAGTATATTGCATTTGGGGCTGTGCAGCCACAGACCGGTCAGAGTGACCATGTGACCCATGTCTACAGCCAAAAGGGCCTACAATAGACCCAGGAACATCAGAACTGGACCACGGAGCAATGAAAGAAGGTGGTCTGGTTTAATGAATTAAAGAATGGTTTGAGGAACACAAGTTATATGCCGACTCCAAATTCTCCAGATTTCAATCCAATCAAGCTTTTGAGGATGTGCTGGAAAAGAAAGTCTGATCCATGGAGGCCACACCTCACAACTTACAGGACTTAAAGGATCCTCTATTGACAAGAGGTCTAGTGGAGTCTATGCCTCAATGGGTTATGGTGGGTGGTCATCATGTCATGGCTGATCAGTGTATATTTAAGGTGTAATGTCTAGACCTTTACATACATACAGACAAACACAGTATATAAAACTGCAAATGCAGAAATAATAGAAAATCTGGAACATATTCTGACTTTGTATGTTTCTTTGAGAAAATCTCAGAAATTCTCTTTTCATGTAGTTTAAAGATGCATGTTAATAGCCTTTTCACCTTTCGCCCTAATTAAAGCGGAGTTCTGGCTGATTAAAACATAAAAAGTCAGCAGCTACAGAAACTGTAGCTGCTGACTTGTAAAATACAAATACTTTCAGCTTCACAGCCAGGTTCCTGCTGCGCTTGGTGAATGGTCCCGTAGTCTTCTGGGACCTGTCACGTGTCCCAGAAGACTACGGGGAGGGAGGATGGAGGACAATTTCTGCTTCCGATAGCCTTAGGTGATCGCAGCGAAAGTGGGAGCGGGTACCTGTCAGATTCGGGTACTCGCTCCCCTAAGTTGGCAAAAACGGGCAGCGGGAAAGAATGCATTAAAGCAAAACTTCCCCTTTTGGGTTGAGCTCCGCTTTAAGGGAGCATTTATGCTGTCCTTTAACATTTGTGAAACTTAAATGGAAACCTTGTCAACTAAATATTGGCTCTCACTGACCAGTAGGAAGATGGCACGCAAGCTACAAACACTACCAGAAGCCCCAGAGATTCCTATAAGGATACCATAGGTACACACAGACCTCTAGATACCAAGTGCTTTATACCTAACCTGGTTGCTGATGCTTACTCTGCTTCCATCCACCTACATACATTACTATTGGATAATAGGGCCATCCACCACAATGAGGGGCCAGTGTCTAGGCAGTGGTGGCAGAAGTTTAGTAGAATCCGCTACCTGTTCCAGCTCAGATTTGAATTCAAGGATACCTGCTTCTGTCTTATTATTATAATGTATTAATTTGCTACAAGAGGATTCCACACCTACACTATATTATAAAGTTTACGGAGTGCATGTGTATGACTGATGCCAATTATGTGGCGATCATTCATTTTGCTGAAGGGCACAAAGGAGCTCAGCAACAAAAGTAAACTCTGGGGGCCCTCATCTGATGAGGTTGAAAAAATAGAAATACAACAGCTTTCAATTAGTGGCTGTTGTGGGGCCAAACAGTTCACTATGCCATTGTAGCATGTACAGGTCAGTAGATGTGAGCATGTAGAGGAGCAGAAGATGGCAAACTGTTCTGCAAAACCCAGTCCTAACGTATTTTGGAAAGATAACAATCATTTATAACCATCCAAACCATGGTTTTAGACTTGGAGGAGATTAAAGATTTGATATAGTTACATTTTGCATGACTACCCCTGAATCTTTGGAAAAGGTGACAAATGAAAGCAGATCAAGAAATATCAACCAGCCCGTAGTCACGTGCAGGGCACAGGAGCAACACAGGGCCAAGAGATGTAAACAAAGTACATAGCATGGTCCAGGCATCTGAAACACTTGAAACTGTGTTGGAGGCAAAAAAAGGTTCTACAATGGCCACTGCTCTCATAATAAGAAAACTCAAGGGGCATGGGTGGTGAAGAGGTGAGCAAATTATCTATCACCTATGGTAACCTACATTTTCTCCAATTAATTTTTTCTTACCCAAAAGTGGTCAGTCTAACCTATAAGCCAACACGCCATTTTACTTTGCATGTGCTATAAGGAAGCCTTAGCTGCAGTTCTTCCCTTCACACAAAAGCCTTGTGTACTACATCAGGGATGTTGGATTCCTATCGCCCGACGCTAGGGACATGTAGTTTTTTTCTACCTTTAGCCCTGCTGTGGGCAAGCAGCGGGCTCACCTGTCAGGTGGAAGCATTCGGTGGCAGCACTGCCACTGATTGCTTCCACACAGTGCCAGCTTCTCCGTCAATTGCGATACACATGTCACATATCACCGCGCACGCCAGAATGAGAGCAATAATTCTAGCACCAGACCACCTCCGTAACGCTAACCTGGTGACCTACAAGGAGCTTTAAATGTGTCAACCTATAGAAAATATAGGGTACTGAGGTTCGTCGCATTTCACGTGCGCGCACAAATTTAAGGTTTCTATTTACTCGATGCAACCTCATCTTTTATATTTTCCAAAAAAAATAGAGTAATGTATTGTTTTTTTGTGCCCTAAAATTAACTTGTATTTTTTACTAAAATTTTGCGCTAAAATCATGTGACATAAAAAATTGGAACTACCACTATTTTATTCTTTCTAGGGTATCTGCTTTCAAAAAATATAATGTTTGGGGGTTTTATGTAGTCTTCAGGCTTAAAATGATTTTTTAAACGTGCGCAAAAAATATAAAACCGTCTCTGGCAGCAAAAGGGATAAAGTATAAGCCCTGACCCACCCTTTCCTGACGAGCAGCCAATCGTTCATCACACTGCAAGGTGTCTCTCCTCGCTGCTATTCCCTGGGTGTGGTGCTGGAGACAGGCAGGGAGGGGAGGAGGAGATAAACCGTGCAAAGTTAAAAACATTACACGTTTAAGTCGCCATGAAGTACCTTTTTTTTTTAAAAGCCCCAGACGTTCCTAAAATCACCTCCAATTTAAATACGGTTTTGGTTAAAAAAAAAATATTTTGATCTGGACAAGTAGATTGTCATGAGGGATAAGTAGATTGGGACACCGATTTAGTCCCTTGGACAAGTAGTTTTTTTAAAAATGTCCACACCCCTGTACCAGGCCATCATAGAAGAGAAGATGACTGCTGGATGTTGCAGAAGAGGATTGGACAACTAGCCCCATTTTCTTTTAGAAGCAACGAGGAAACATGAACTCAGTGAAAATACTCTAATCGGACCCTTTTCCATATTCACAGAAAAAAGTCTTCCTGTGAGGGCTTACCAAGAGAATAAATACTGGGCCTTCGGTCATGGTCAAAGCTGTTGCCTAATTTGATCAGCGGGCAGGTCATTTTCGACAGGAAAGCTCTCACTTTCTCTTTCTTCTCATGGTTGGTGCAAAACAAGTTCAGAATCTTCCCATTCACATCACGGTTCTTTTTGCTCATGCCCAGTAAGTAGAACACATCAACAAACACGTCCAGCTTGAATGTGAAGGAAAAGTTCAGGTTGTCTTCAGTCAACTCAAAGTTTTGCCTTTCCAGGTAGTCTTTTACCAAACGGTGGAAATTAAACTGAAAACCAGAAAAAAAATTAAAAAGATTAAAATCAATTATTGCTGTTCTACTACTCACAATAACTACAAAATAATGATAGAGAGGTCTGTTACAGCCAAATACCCAGGGTAGTTTCAGTTGGCAAGTGCATTGTGTCTTATAGATTTCAAAATATATATAAGATTTTGTGTTTAGGAATTCACATTTAGGACTGCTGCTATATAGGTATCTTATATATATAGTTAAATTATTTCACATATATGTTAATTAATTTTTTTCCTAAGCGCAACAGTACCCCCTTTTTTCTTTCAAACATAAGTGCATTGTGTCAGCTTACATGTTACCTTTTGAGGCTATTCTATAAATGTCTATACAGAATACAATGAAAGCGCAAGCATGGAAAGGTGAAAGTTGTATCTAACATTACTTTAGGTTTAAGCCCAACTCTGGGAATTAAAAAAAAAAAACAAAAAAACAAAGACACAAACAAACACACAAAACACAATCTCTCTCTGGGGACACACTTTACAAACTCGGATCCATCCTGTAAGCCGTGTAGAAAGAAGGGGGAGAACAGCACGGATTTTTTTAATCCTTGGACTGCTACACCGGTTCCGTGAGAATGGATTCATCACTCATGGAGGTAAGTACAGCAGGGACTGAAGAAGGGAAGGGTGGGGAGTGCGTACAATATTAGTTCACTATTCCATTTTTTCCTCACAGGGTGAACATACACTTTAAATCCAATAAAAATTCCTTTACGCAAAAGTAATGCTTTGTGCTAATGCAGATGAGTTTTTGAGCCCCACGGTTTAAATGGGCCCTAAAGAGTGAAGCTTGGTCTTGAGAAAAAAAAAAAAAAAAGAAAAAAAAAAAGGATGGACAGAAGGAAGGAATAAACATTGCTAAAATGCCACTTTGCTCTGCCAAGGTTTTGTAGAACTCCTACACAAGCAGAAAAAAAAAAAAAAAATTTATAAATCAGTAAAGACCTTGATAGTAAGGAAAAGTGAATAACCTTCTTGATGCAATGAATCACATTTTTGAGGGGTCACACTGTTACAACTTGAATGTCACGTAAGACATCTGGACGAACAAGCTGTATATGACATTATTAAACTGCCACTTGCGTCAAGCATGAGTCTCTAACTACACTGGAGTGCCCAGATTAGTCATGTCATAAGAGCTTCATATAGACTGCACAAAATGTAGGTGCCACAGTGTGCAGATTGACGTGTTCTGACAGTCTGAGTACATTAGGCAATGCTGGGAATATGTAGCTGACCTTATTAGGTAAGTGCAAGCTTGACGTATTATGAAAAAGTGTAAAACGAAGCCAAATGTCACAGCACTAAACACTTAAAACAGGCGGTGTTCACTTCAATCAACAAATCATGTGCTAGGAAGAAAAAAAAAAAAAAAAGTTTGGGGATGATTATTAGGTAGGTAGGTAGGTGTGTGCATCTGTGTGTATTATTTTTTCCCAATTTATTGCTGAACCCAAATGAATGTAGTTATCTAATCATTAAACAATAAGTGCACTTGTAGTTTGTTGGGAGGCAGAAAGGTTAAAAGAAATTTTTAAAAAAATTACTAAAGGCTTTGGAAGGTGGGTGTTGAATCCTCATGCACACTTGATGTTTTTACAGCGGCTGTTTTTGGCTTTTAATGTTTTTTTCTACAGTTAGTAAACTCCCCAGCAGGTTATCCTATGTGTCCATACACACAAACTGTAATCAACTTTTTTTGGTTGGAAAAAAAACAAAAAACCCAGAACTAGTGGGGGGGGGGGGGGGGGTTGCTGAAAAACACGGCAAAAGGCGGTAAAACGCCGCATACCAGTGTTTTTTGGACTTTTTTTTGACCAAAAAAAAAATAAACTTTTTATTTTGGTAAAAAGAAAAAAAAAAAAAACAAAAAAAAACACACAAAATGCGAAAAAAAAACTGCACTAAACGCTAATGCAAAAAAGACTTTACACAGCTAACATTACCAGCATCATCAAAAATGTCAAGTGTGCATGAGGGCTGAGAAAGTGCATTTATGATTTTTGCCACTTTGCCCTGGCCTAAATGATCTTATCCATCCCCTCCATAGATGTATCAGACAGCCGCAGACTCCATTGTTTGCTTACATCCAGTCATATCACAGGCTTGGGGTGGGAGGTGACCTAGATGTTGTTTCTGATCAGCAATAGAGAAAAGGAAAGTCACCAACTTGGCATTACTCTCGCACAGGACTGTAGAACTCTCAGAGCTGGATAAACAGGGGTATAAAGCACTCAGTAAAAAAAAATAGAGCATATATTATATATGCATTTCAAATGCATATGTGACAGTTTGTATCAGATGGATTATGATTAATAAAAATATATATATATATATTTTTTTTTTTCTAGACTTTCCAGGAAATTTAGCTATATGTGCAATTTCTACAAGATTATATCATTTTAGAGCAGCCTATGACTGTACAAAAATGGTAAAACCTACTCTGCCTGCAAAATAAAAAAATGGAAGCAAAAATTTCCACCTACATATAGAGCCCTAAGTGCTGGTTCACATATATGCAGATAGGATGAGGTTTGAATCGCATCCAGTCTGCAAGACGTGAAATAAAATTGCTTTCTATGGTACCTGTTCACATATGTCGGGTGCACTGGCGTTGCGGATTCAGTGCGGTTTAAAAAAGTCATGTATGATTTTGAGCAGTGTCGTCAGGTTCAGGTGTGGATTACAGGCTATTGACTGCTATGGGAACCGTTTCTAAACCGCATATGTGTGAACAGGATAAAATCCTGTCCTGAACCTGACATGAACCACTGAACAACTACTGTATCAATTAGCTGTAAAACTTGAGTTTCAATCCGCAGCGCACATGTGTGACTCAGCTCTCAATTTGGCTTCTTCAAAATGTGAAGTCACATACAGGTCATGAAAACTAAGCATGCACTATACCAGTTGAACACGTACATGTCACATGCCTACATGAGGGTGAAATTAACAAAGTTTTTTTTTTTTTTTTTTAAATCACTAGGATTTCCAGCACTTTGGGTATAACCCGCTATCAATGACCCAGAGACCCTGCACCTGGATACGTAATAAAAGGGTTTCATGCATCCCAGTGAAAGTATTTGTAACATGTAGCTTGGCAGATATATAGGGCTCTGTGTTTTTGGGCAACGTAGACAAAACCAAAAAGGGAGAAGAGCACCAATAATCTCTGCATGTGTTTAATATCTCACCTGTAAAAAGTAGTTTTCTCCCATAACGGAGGAGATGATCTCATTCATACCACCCTCTATTCTGGCCTTCATCTGTGGATGCCGGGTGTTCACAATGAATGCAAATGTTTTAGCTGAAAATGTCAAAATATTATTCTTACAAAAAAATCATGTCTAGTTCTACATAACTTATAATTACTTAACATATTGTTAAAAAAAAAAAAAAAAAAAAAAAAAAAAAACACACAGACTACTTTGTTCAACCCAAAAAAGCAGCAACAGCTTTGGAAAGAGTGGCTAGAAAGAAAATCATTGGCAGCATTTCTACAAATATGAAAAGAGACGTAAGCAGACCTTTATGAAGATAGCCAGCCTCTGCCTAGTACTGAAAGTGACCAGTCAGCTCACAACCAAAAAATTGCAATGAAACTGCAAGGGAAGGACTCATGCTCTGCCCGCGCCTGGGAAGGACTCCTGCTCTGCCGGGTTGTATCTTCTACCTACCAATTGTTCCTGGCTCCCATCAATCTCTTTGGCATTCAACACCACAGACGTTTTGGAGGCCTGTGTCCCTTGCCCAGCATGTGATGGGGAACGCAGACACTCCTAAAAAGGTATCAAATACAGAAGACACTAGCACAGGCTGCAGTGCCGGAACAGAGGGAAGGTAGGAGAGACTGTCTGTCAAGGTAGGGAGTATAAGAGTTCTAGTTTTGCAGGTCACTTTCATCTTCATTTTTTTTGTAGTCCACCAGGATCACTTAAAGTATCAGTGTTTGGCAAACTTGGTCTAAAATGAGCTTACAAAGCATTAGGTCTATTAGAGGTAGGCTGTAGCAAACAATTTATGTACCAAATTCAGCATAAAGGATAGTGAGTGCTCTTATAAATACAGCAGCTAGAACACTTCAGGCAACCACAATGCCTCTAAAATATCAATATAACCATAAAACATCAGAGTGCAGCGCTTAGACAAGTAAATATGTGATTAACAATAGCAGAGAGTCAATAAGGCATCCACAGTGTTTCACTGGAGTAATGCAAACTTCCACGGCCTTTACTCCCTCAAATAACAGAAATGCGCACTCACCAGAAACGCATGGGTTATGCGCATGTATGATCAAGCATCCCAGGTGATAGGAACATCAAAGGTTATGTGGAGCTAACATCCCCACAGAGAAAGCACTTTGCCACCCTGAGGGGAGTTTTGTGTGAAGCACCTGGCTGACCTTAAGGGGACCCCTGGACCTGACTAAAGAGTCTGTGATGACCCACCATGAGGGAAATGCCTGCTGCCTAACCTTTGATGTTCCTATCACCTGGGATGCTTGATCATACATGCGCATAACCCATGCGTTTCTGGTGAGTGCGCATTTCTGTTATTTGAGGGAGTAAAGGCCGTGGAAGTTCGCATTACTCCAGTGAAACACTGTGGATGCCTTATTGACTCTCTGCTATTGTTAATCACATATTTACTTTTCTAAGCGCTGCACTCTGATGTTTTATGGTTATATTATGTACCAAACACTGATTCAAGAATATTACTACTAGTGCTACCTTCCCGTGCCACGTAGGTAAATCTACTGGAAAAGTAAAGACTCAACAGCACCAGACTTAGAAATGTATCCATGCATGGTTAACAACGTCCTTCCCAAATATAAGGAAAGTGTACCTGAGCATCATACCTACAAAAATGGCCAAATTTTGAAGGCTGGGTTGGGGTGGAGAGAATAGTAAAGAAAAATGTATGCATGTCTATGGTATTAGGAAAGATAACCATCACTACGGTCATTGTTATGGTGGTTAAACTGATGTAAATGTGAAAGCCCAACACCAGGAACCTTGAAAATCCTCTCTTGCAGTAGGGCTGTGCTCATACTGCAAGGATTAACTGCTTGTTGAATGTATAGGAGAGTAATGCAGTTTTACTTATCCGATCCTCTGCCCCCCAGCAGACGGTGCTCCTCATACTCTGGTAGTGGACTGACTATCAGTGTTCTTGTGTCCAATGAAGGGCTATGCACCCTGAATCAGTTGTGATGTCAGGACCTTAAACCGTTGGTGTATGGGGAGAAGATGCTGTAGGGACTGGTCTAGCAGCTTGGAGGATCAGATATGTAAATCTATTCTTCTGTGCCTAGACCTAAAGAGTTAATCCTTGCAGTATGGGCATAAGTCTCCTAAAATTCAGTTTTAAAATATAGATAAAAATCCTTAAAAAAATATAGGATGTAGGTTAATATCAGCGTAAAAAATATGTAATTAAACAGGAATGAAGAAAGTGATCACAACATTGATCAAAACATAATTCTTGTTTAAATTGTATTTATTTGTTTTTTTAAATAAAAAAGGTGAAACCTGATTGGTTGCTATTTGTGCAATCAACTGGTCTACAGCCCTGATATTGGCCGGCTTTGAAGAAAGCTACAAAGTGGTCAGGGATAGATTCCAACTCATTGTACTAGCTGGAGTACTTTATGGGAATCTGAATTCCATTATCCATCCCCTAATGACAAGGTGGGACTTAACATGTACTTTATCTTGCAGGTAGGAAAATGATTACCAATGAACACTAAAAAGTGAAAATGTCAAAATGTTTACTTGCTTATACTGGTGATTGCCTTGCTTTCCCACCCAAAAAAAAAAAAAATAAATAAAATAAAGTGACATATGACTAGGCATTCAAGTACGTACAGTATAACATATTAGAATGACATAATACTGAACATGACATGAGACTATCTTGTGCTATTATACATATGGAACATTTCTGCTTTTATTTAAAACCAGTCGGCTTTGTTCTTCACAACAACTATTACGTGTAACCAGTTTTCTCTGAAATGTGAAGAGCACAGTAAATCCAGCAGTCTGATTGGTGGAGGGCTTAGAACGCTCTGTCCTTTCAGTGCAGCTTACAAACCTGAAGCTTTTTATAACAGCATGACAATCAGAACTTGGTTTTCTGAATCACCAAAAATGTCTTAATGTTCCATCAATACAGACAGGGCTTGTCACCATACCTGAGTCAGACTTGACCTTTCGCACGTTGAAGAAAAACAGCATGGGTTTTGCAAGGATTGTTTCTCTGTAATCTTTGTAATCAATGTGGCTCTTCAGCGTGACTTTCCTACAAAGATATTCAAAAATAAAATATTACCATGTGCTAAGCATGCCATAGATGCACTGATAATCACAAGCATGAGACCTAAGGCATGACACAATGTGGCTGCACACATACAGAGATTCTTCTAAACAATAAGTAAGCCCAACATTTCATATTCCTGATATGTGCCTGCTGTACCATGTACTTGTATGAAAAATGATCCTGTTCTCTTTGTATTGCTTCCTTTCTTTGTGTGAAAGCCCGTGTTCCCGCCAGTCCCTCTGCTTTCCTATTAAAAACTGACCACACTAGACATGAAAGCACATCATGGCTAGTTTTCTAGCTGTGCTGGGAACTCAGTGTGCTCTCCTCTAATGATCAGACTTTGTCTGACATACACCCCTGCACAGCCATTCACTGGGAAGATCAGTGTGCAGCCGTTTCTCCTCCCTAAGCTCCTTATGCAGCTGAGAACAGGGAGTAATTTACTCCCGCTCACCCAATTAATTAAAGCGGAGCTCCACCCAAAAGGGGAAGTTCAGCTTCAAGGACAGCTCCCCCGCTCCCCATTAAGGATTGGCACCTTTGGGGGGGGGGGGGGGGGGAGCGGGTACTTGAATTTGACAGGTACCCGTTCCCACTTCCGGACCAATTGCCCTAGGTGACTGGAAGGTGTCCTCCCTCCCTCACTGTAGACTTTTGGGACACGTGACAGGTCCCAGAAGGCTACAGGACCATTCATGAAGTGCAGCGCTACTCGCACATGTGCAGTGGGTACCCGGCTGTGAAGCCGCAAGCTGTCAGAGCCAGCTGTCCACACTGAAGATGCCAGCCTCCTGGAATACAGGACGGCTGGTGAAATGGGCTGCAGGGGACACACCGCGGGACCGAGGGGACAGGTAAGTGGCTGTTTTTTAAAAGTCAGCAGCTACAGTTTTTGTAGCTGCTGACTTATTTTTCGACAGGGTGAGTGGAACTCCGCTTTACATTAAATAAATGAACAACTTAAAAAGTTATCCACAACTCCTGCCCCCAGTTACATCACTAACCTATTTTAAAAAAACAAACAAAACCTAAATCATTCTCTTCGTTCCTCCCAAGACCTTCTGCTCTATCTCCCTTGTCACCTCTTCCCATGCTGACCTCCAGGACATCTCCCGAGCCTCTCCCATCCACTGGAACTCCCCATTTCCTACTCTGTCCACTTTTAGACAAACCTTGACAACACTTTTTCAGAGAGGCCTATCCAGCCTCCACCTAACAATTATACTTTTATTTTCTCCATCATCTCATCCCCCACAATTATAATATAGATTGTAAGCTCTAACGACCAGGGCCCTCTGATTCCTCCTGTATTGAGTTGTATTGCATTTGTTCTCCTAGATTGTAAGCTCGAAAGAGAAGGGCCCTTGACCCCCTCGTGTATTGTATTGTTACTGTCTTGTCTCATGTTCTGTCCCCCACTATAATGTACAGCGCTGAGCAAACCTTTTAGCGCTATATAAATACTGTATAATAATAATAATAATAATAATAATAAATAATAATACTGTCTGTCTTTATGTTGTTGTAAAGCGCTGCAAAAAAACTGTTGGCACTATATAAATCCTGTAGAATAACAACATTTTCAAACAAGATCCTGATTTCCAGTTAAAGTGAAGTTCTATAAAAGAAAATTGTAGACACACTGGAAATGTGTCATATATTCCAGCGTCCAATTCTCTTATTTATTTTACATGACTTCATCCGGAAGTCTTCTGCAAACTATGATGTCTAAAATGAACGGCAGCCAGTAAGGAAGGGGCTGACATCAAAGGACCAAACTCTGTAAATGAGCACCATAAAGAAAAATCCCATCATTTGTTATAAACCTGCCTGTCAATGTATACTACTTTTTATTGTCCGGATATTTAGGCATAGATTCCACAACCGGAAAAATTGTCATGCGATCACCAGTGGTCAGCCGTCCAAAAGACATGACAAGACGGGCTGTATCCTGACCACAGAGACAGAAATGACATCACCCTGAGAGACACACCAAACTTCCCACAGAAGCTGAAGGAACATTTGGGACACATTTTGGCTAATGATAGCAATGATCACCGAAGCTGAACTCCAGGATAGGCAAATATCTAAATATAAGAGGCGTGTGTATTCTTACTTTGGTGTGTCCTTATCCAGATCTGTGCAGTAATCCAGCGTGAAATTTGCCACTGTATAAAGACCAGTCACTTCTCTCTCCCTCTCCTTGAGCAAGGTGACTGGTCTTGTCTCCGCCCCCTCCTGTCATTTCCCGCAGGCAGCCTGTATTGGGTGGAGCCTGATGGGCCCCTCCCACAGCCCTGCCCAGTCTAGGTACAGCACAGCGATGATGTCACTACCACTTTTACAAGGTAATACCTGGCTTTTTAAAGGCATTTAATGCACACAAAGTGGATTTATGTACTTTAAATCTGACCTCTGGGCATGTAAATTTTTTAATTTGTGGCTATTGAGGAATATATTTAAAGTGATAAGTCCTCCTTTGAGTCTCATCAACATGGAACTAGAGGATTCAATAGCAGTTAGTCACATGCAACTAGATTTGTTCTATAAAGTTGAAGACGTTTCTTCAGTTCTAATTCATTACAGACAGCTTTTTACTACCCCCTTTTTAAGCTGCAAAGGCGGTCGGATGGGGATGTGCACATGCCGCAGCAAAAAATTATAGCCCCGTCCCATTCGGTGAAGGTACCATTCGAAAGCCCCACAACTGTCCTACAATTACATTTAATGCATGCGGTTCTGGTGCAACATTTAGGGCCGGTCCGCACCATGCCCACACATGAATCGCACAGGAATGCGCTGTGCATTCCTGATTGGACTGATTCACATGCAGTTCTGTGCTGTGCAATTTCAGCTCATTCATTTTGAATGGGGAAAAAAAAAAAAAAAAAAAAAAAAAAAAAAAAAAAAAAAAAAAAAAAAAAAAAAAAAAAAAAAAAAAAAATCGCACCACACCAAAAGCAATGCATACACTACAACCGGATGACATGGTACATAAGTACCATGCAATCCGGTCTGGGGAAAATAGACTGCATTTGTGTTTGGGATGTCGTTAACTTTGTATTGAAGCCTGCTGCAGATCGCAAAGAGTGCGTTTTGCATGCGGTGTGTAACGCACAGTGCGTTCCTGTGTGATTCATGTGCGGGCATGATGTGAAGCGGCCCTGAAAGGTTAAAAACAGGCGATGAGGAGGTGACATACCACCTCCTCAATACCTGTCAAATGCGATGGATTATTTGTCAGTGAAGGACAGCAATATGTCTAAACTAAGGCTGGCCATACCCTAGTAAAAGAAAAAAAAAATTTTTTTTTTTTTTTTTTACAAGCTTTTGTTCATTTTTAATCCTAGTTTGTCAGGTTGGATCATCTGTGTCCTTTTTTTTTTTACTGCAGTAATGAGAAATTTTGAAGGAGCAGGATGGAAATGTTTCAAAATAACCAAACCATGTATGTTTTTCTTTCAAAAAATTGCATTCATTCCAAAATCAAATATTTCAAAGTACATTCAAATGATATTCAACTCATTGAATGTGCTGAGACTTCATACGATTGTTTACATGAATGTTCCTTCAGAAACCTACTTTACTCTTTCCTTCATGCTGGGATCACAGAGGGGCAGCACAGTGGCTAAATGGTTAGCACTTCCGCCTGGCAGTACTAGGGTCGTTGGTTTGAATCCCAACCACGGCACCACCTGCATGGAGTTTGCATGTTCTCCCTGTGCCTGCGTGGGTTTCCTCTGGGTACTCCGATTTCCTCCCACACTCCAAAGACATGCTGGTAAGTTAATTGGATCCTGCCTAAATTGGCCCTAGTATATGTATGTATGAATGTAAGTTAGGGACCTTATATTGTACAGCCCTTGAGGGTTAGGGACTGATGTGAATGTACAATATATATGTAAAGTGCTGCGTAAATTGATGGCGCTATACAAGTACCCATAATAAATAAAAATAAAATAACTTGGAACTCGAATGGATTTTTAAACTCCAGTCACACTTTGTGATTTGGAGTAGCGGCCAGAATCGCCACGTTTCTAAATTGCGTGGCAAGTGCAGGAACACATACTTTGCACATTTGGGTGCCATTATTCGTCCATGGTACCCCAAACATGATGTGATTTTATCACAGCAAGCTAGGCCTTTAACAATCATTTGAAGCTTGTTGCCCATTGACAAACGTGTATAGGGTTGCCCATTCTGCCCTATGGGACATGCAGAGTCACATGAAAATTGAGCTGTCCAAATTGCATCTCATTCCCGCTGCGCGAATAATGTGAACAGAACCTTAGAAAATAAAGTGCAGCAACAAGCAGTGGCTTTGTGTCGGGTAACGAACAGCAACAGGCGTTCACTTTTGGGCTGAGATGAGGATACAGGTGTTTGCTAGAAGTATCTGTATATCATAAAAGACAATTATATTGAGATTACATCACAGCCCAAGCTCAGGCACTGCCCAAATTTACTACTTGTATTCGTGTTACCAGTGGACCTTTAACTTAAAGAGTAACTCCACTTTTGGTGAAAAAAAAATAAGAAAAAAAATATTCCGCTCTGGGTGATCAATGTACATTGCAAGTAGGCCAAGTAGGTTATAAAACTTGGCTGCAGATTCCTACCTTTTGTTTTTCTGAAGAAGTAGTTGTTTGTTTGCCTGTGTCCATGTGCAGAGTGAAATCTATATGGGGGGTGGTTTCATAATTAACTATCAGCTTCTTCACCTGTGGGGCTCTAATGAGGAGAGTGGCAGGGTCTGCATCCCTTTAGATGTGATTTCCCTTTGGAAGTATCTCATCAACAATTACATTTTTGTTACAGGGGATGTCCAAAATCTAACTTGTATCTTGGTGCAGACTTCTGGGAAAATCAGTAAGCCAATCACACAAGCAGGAAATTACATATCTGGGGGGTGTTCTCTACACCATCATCTTGTACAGAACACCTCCAGGTAGCCATATTGCATTTTACAGAAAGTTACAGTGCTGCCGACTGAAAAGGAAAAGTGTTTTTAATAGCATTCAACTATAGTATAACATGTCTCAAAGTTGTACACTACATTTTTTTTTAAATGTGCTATTTTTTCCCCACAAAAGTGGAGTTACCCTTTAAAGTAGTATTTAAGCCAGGATGATTTCCATCATATGGAATTATGCCCCCTCCCCCTTTAAATTAAACCTTTTTAGGCTACATTGACACTAGCAGCTGTCACTGCCGCACCTACGAAAACCGCAAGTGTCAACGCGCCCAAAGAAATAGAATGAATGTCTTGGCAACATAAATTGGAACCTTCCCAGACAAAAGAATGCGGACCTGCTACTCAGAGCTTACTCGGTGCTTTCCCTGAATAAACAGTTCAACTCTTCCGCAAATTTGAAGGTTTTTTCTAGATAAAGGAGCTCATCCTCCATACCTTAGACAAGCCTTTTTCAACCGGGGTGCCTTGATGTTTCTGCAGGGGTGCCTTGGAAAAATGTCTAAAATTTCTCAAAACCTGTATACAAGCCAGTGGGTGGAACAAGCCTGCCTTTTAGTTACACAAAGCCACGGGTTTTCATTGTGCACCATTATGACCTTCTAGGCACCGGCGTCCTGACAACCAATGACATCAGTTGATAAAGGAGGATGTCAGTTGCCTGCACAGCATCCTAGTTTAACCCTCCCCTGCCCCTCTCCATCAGTGCTGGGGTCACATTAGCTCAGTGATGAAAAAAAAAAAAAAAAAAAACTTAGGGAGAAGAGAAACATTGGAATACTAGTCAGTACCAGTGTGCAAAAGTGTATTTGCTTTGGAAGAATAAATCACCTCTAATGTTGACTGTCCTACATGTGTGGATGTTGTTGCATTAAAAAAAAACTATTAGAAAGTTTTTTTTTTTACATTTTAGAATGGGGTGCCTCAAGACTGTCCATCATTTTAGAGGGTGCCATGAAATTGTCCATTTTAAAGGGTGCCTTGACTGAAAAAAGGTTGAAAAACACTGCCTTAGGCTTCACGTACACGAGCCTACCCTGACCGCCAGTCAAAAGGTTCCTATCCTGAATGTGATTCTTCCATGTACAGGAGAGGGACGTTTAACCTCACCTAAAACGCGGCAGCTCCTAAAGTCTGCTAAAAGCCTATGTGTACATGGACACAAAGGCTTTTATGGAGTTGAGTTTAGGAGCTTTGGCAAAAAAATGCCTAACGCTCCTAAACTTGAGCCTGAGTTTAGGAGCTGCTCGTGTACATGAAGCCTAAGAAGCTTATGGGATTCCTGCTTTACTTCAGGAAAAAAACATCACTAGGAGAATTTTGTTATGAACTCCTGACTACCACCCCCAACAGTAATCTGGATTGACTAAAGGAGTAGAGCATTTTCACTCTGCAAAGTAACTTTTCACCTTAGTGAATGAGGCAAAAAACTGTTACGTCACTCATCCAATCCGGTCTAAGCTGAAAACTTTTTTTTTTTTTTTTTTTTTTTTTTTTTTTTTTACACATTTTTCTAGCATGTGATTGGAAATTTCCCCAAACATCTTGCCACCTCATTTACGAAGATAAGCGAGAATCTTTATTTTGACCTGGTGATCCAGCCAGCAAGTCTGTTATTTTTAAACTTTCTTTAACAGAGCAGGCTGTCCAGAGAAAGTAGCAGTTACCATTTACCACTGACAGGAGTGATTAGCTTTTTTTCATTTTTGTAAACTCTTTCTCCCATAGCTGGAGTTGAACTTCAATTTGTTAATCAAGTCCATCTAAAGCCAGGTACACTGAGCCCTCACGAAGCCCACCCAACGCAGAGCCCTCAAGAAAGCCCACCCAACGCAGAGCCCTCAAGAAGCCCAGCCCCTCACCCCAAACGCAGAGCCCTCAAGAAAGCCCACCCAACGCAGAGCCCCCCACCAGCCCCCCAGCCTGACCACACAGAGCCCTCCTCACCTGTGGATGTAGTTGATGACTCTGCACTGCTGTCCGTCTATGACTGCGGCCCCGTCGCTGAGGACATTAAAGCCCCCTCTCTGGTTGTGGGAGGTGAGGACGCCGTTCTCCAGGTTCAGGTAGTTGGGTTGGAGATCCAGGAGAAGTCTGACCGGCAGTATGGCCATCTCGCAGTTGGCGGTGGTCATTGTAGCCACCACGTCAGAGCTGATGGAGGTCATACTCTGGAGAGAGAAGATACTGGCCAGCCGATCCGACCGGCCCATCTCGGTGGGATGTGATACAGCCATAGCAGCGGTCATAGTATACGGCCGGCTCCGCACTGACACTCTGTACCTTCCGTACAAGGATACAACACCGCCCGATCCGATCACCGACAACAACCTGGAATGCCTAGCGCCGATCACTGACAGCTAACCTCCCGGACAGAGGGGCGGAGAAAACAGGACCGCCCAGTGGGAGGAGGCCGTCCTAGAGGAGGAGGAGGATCAGGAGAGGAGGTAGCACTAGCAGAAAGGGTGGAGTAGAAGGCTGTCCTACTAGCAGGGCCGCCCTAGTAGGAGGAGTGGAGAGGAAGGCAGTCCTATTGGAAATGCCGGATGAGGGAAGACCGCCCTAGACGGAGGGGTGGAGCAGAAGGCCGTCCTTATTGGAAGAGGCGGTGGAGGAAGCCAGTCCCAGTAGGAGTGTCCTACCTGTTTTGTCCGCAGGGCCTTTTGTGAACAGGTGTCCTCAGGTGGAAGGGCACAGCCGGGGGGTGGAATGCGGGGCGGTGCCGGCCAGGAAAGGCACGTCTGAGCAGATATGTGGAAGAGCCGGTGTGCCCGGTGTGCCGGAGTTCCCGCCAATTACTGACGATTACTGGAGTTATTGCCCGAGACCAGCGCGCTGAACTGTCCATCAATGACCGGCTCGGGGAGGAATCAACCAAAAACCTTCATAGGTCCCCTCGTCTTCTCTCTGTAACACTCTGCCTATGGCCGCCCCCCCCCCCCCCATTCACATCAGAGCCCCCCCTTCACATCAGAGCAGGGGCGGACTGACCATTTGGAAACTCGGTCACTGCCCGAGGGCCCGGGGTCAGTAGGGGGCCCCATGAGATGCCCCTGGTACCTTTTTCATAGGCTTTTTTGAGTTTGGGCAAGGACACAGGGGCCCCATAATCCCCTATTGCCCGGGGGCCCATGAGTTGTCAGTCCGCCCCTGCATCAGAGTCTTCTCTTTCACATTAGAAGTCCCTCCTTTCACATTAGTAGCCCTCTTAACACATCAGAGTCCCCCCTTTCACATTAGAAGTCCCTATAATCACATCAGAGTCTCCTGTTTCTCAGAAGTCCACCCATCACATCAGAGCCCCCCTTTCACATCAGAATCCCCCTTGCACATTAGAAGTCCCTTTAAACACATCAGATTTCCCTTTCTCAGAAGTCCACCCATTATATCAGAGTCAACCCTTGCACATTAGAAGTCCACCCATCACATCAGAGTCCCCCCCCCCCCCCCTTTTTTTCACATCAGAGTCTCCCATTTCACATTAGAAGTCCCTCCTTTAACATTAGTAGCCCTCTTATCACATCAGAGTCCTCCCTTTCACATAAGAAGTCCCCCCCCCCCCCCCCCCATCACATCAGAGTCTCCCCTTTCACATTAACAGTTTCTCCCATCACACCAAAGCCCCCCTTTCACATTAGAAGTGCCTTTAATCACATCAGAGTCTCCTCTTTCTCATTAGAAGTCCACCCATCATATCAGAGTCTCCTCTTTCACATTAGAAGTCCCTCCTTTCACATTAGTAGCCCTCTTCTCACATCAGAGTCCCCCCATATCAGAGTCTCTCCCCTTTCAATTACAAGTCCCTCCTTTCACATTAGTAGCCCTCTTCTCACATCAGAGTTCCCCCTTTCACATTAGAAGTGCCCCCCATCACACCAGAGTCCTCCCTTTCACATTAGAAGTCCCTTTAATCACATCAGAGTCTCCCCTTTCTCAGAAGTCCACCCATCACATCAGAGTCCCCCCTTTCACATCAGAATCCCCCTTTAACATTAGAAATCCCTCCCACCACATCAGAGCCCCCCCTCCCCCTTCACATTAGATGTCCTCACCATCAGCCCTTTCATATTAGAATTCCTCCTTTTGCATAAATACTCCTCTCACGTCAGGGTCCCCCTCTTCACTTTGCAGCCCCCCTCCTCCTATCACATCACAGTTCCCATCCCTTCACATCAGAGCCTCCCCCATCATATAAGACCCCCCTTTAATTTTAGGAGTCCCACCCCCCCATCACATCAAAGTCCCCCCCTTTCACATCAGTTTTCCCCTTTCACATTAAAAGTCCTCCTCTTCCAATTAGAGCCCCCCTTTACAGCCCCAATTCCAAAAAAAGTTGGTACACTGTGTAAATTCTAAATACAAACTGCAATGATTTGCAACTCTCATAAACCCGTATTTTATATATTTCAGTAGAAAAAATGAAAACCTATCCAGTGTTCAAACCGAGAAAATGGACCATTTTAAGAAAAAATAAGGTCATTTTGAAATTGAGGGCAGTTACACATCTCAAAAAAGCTGGGACAGGGCAACAAAAAGCCGGGACAGGGCAACAAAAAGCCGGGACAGGGCAACAAAAAGCCGGGACAGGGCAACAAAAAAGCCGGGACAGGGCAACAAAAAGCCGGGACAAGGGCAACAAAAAGCCGGGACAGGGCAACAAAGAGCTGGGACAGGGCAACAAAAAGCTGGCAAAGTAAGTGCTACAAAGGAGCTGAAAGAACAAGTTGTCACTAATTAGGTTAATAGACAGGAGGTCAGTAACATGATTGGGTATAAAAAGAGCATCTTAGAGAGTCAGAGTGTCTCAGAAGTAACAATACAGTGCCTTGAAAAAGTATTCATATCGATGTTACAGGCAGCGTAATTTCTCCAGACCCTTTCATGTCTGTCACATGTGCTCAGGGTGAACCTGCTCTCATCTGTGAAAAGCACAGGGCGCCAGTGGCGGACTTACCAATTCTGGTGTTCAATGGTAAATGCCAATCAAGCTCTATGGTGCTGGGCAGTGAGCACAGGGCCCACTAGAGGACGTCGGGCCTCAGGCCACCCCCATGAAGTCTGTTTCTGATTGGTCAGAGACATTCACACCAGTGGCCTGCTGGAGGTCATTTTGTAAGGATCTGGCAGTGCTCATCCTGTTCCTCCTTGCACAAAGGAGCAGATACCAGTCCAGCTGATGGGTTAAGGACGTTCTAACGGCCCTGTCCAGCTCTCCTAGAGTAACTGCCTGTCTCCTGGAATCTCCTCCATGCTCTTGAGCCTGTGCTGGGAGACACAGCAAACCTTCTGGCAATGACACGTATTGATGTGTAAACAAGCAGTAGATTAGTTATGAACTCAATCAAGATTGGTGGGGTTTTTTGTACTATTGGTGATATAAATCAGAGGTTGGTAGTCAAAGCACATGAACAACTCTTTTAACCATTTGCCTACCGGGCACTTATACCCCCTTCCTTACCAGGCCAATTTTCAGCTTTCAGCACTGTCTCACTTTGAATTACAATTGCACGGTCATGCAACATTAAACCCATATGACATTTTTATCATTTTGTTCTCACAAATAGAGCTTTCTTTTGGTGGTATTTACTTTCCGCTGGGTGTTTTACTTTTTGCGCTATAAACAAAAAAATAGCAAAAAAAAAAAAAGTTTCTTTGTTTCTATTATAAAATTTTGCAAACAGGTAATTTTTCTCCTTCACTGATGTGCGTTGATGAGACTGATAGGCGGCACTGATGGGCTGAGGCAGCACTGATGGGCACTGATAGGCAGCACTGATGGGCACTGATAGGTGGCACTGATAGCACTAATGAGGTGGCATGGATAGGTGGCACTGATGAGTTGGCACTCATGATGGGTGCCTGATAGGCGGCACTGACTGGTGCAACTGCGGGCACTGACTGATGGCACTGCTGGGCACTGATTGGCAGCACTGCTGGGCACAGGTGGGCGGCACTGCTGGGCACTTGTGGGTGGCACTGCTGGGCACCGATCATCGTGGGCACTGATCACCAGTGCCAATCCCTGCTCTGACAACTGACAGTTCTCGGCAGTTCTTTCCTCACGCTCTGACAGCGTGAGGAAAGTGCAGCCGAGAAGCGGCAATTGCATTTCCCTGTGATCAACGTGTCATTGGACACGGCTGATTATGTGATAAAAGGCCGCTGTGATTGGCCTTTTACCACATCACGTGATCATCTGTGTCCGTCCATAGGGACACAGTAATCACGGAGATCGCCGGGGGGCATGCAGGAGAGCGCGTTCTGGGAGGACATCAAACAAACTCATGGGTAAAACATGAAATTTCCATAAGAGAAAAGAGACAGTCCATACATATGTGATGAACAGAAGATCCCTCAGGAGTAACAAGAGTTCAGAGTAGTAAAACAAGGGCAGGGTATAGCTGATGATGGTACTTGGCATCAAGACAAATCCCACTAGGAGAGCAGAGTGTGGGTGTAGCCATCCTGACTGGTTTTGTTGGGACGTCCGGCTGCCTCAGAGGTAGGCTCAGATTTGTTTGCTAAAAAAGCTAAAAAAAAAAACCCCAAACTTTTTAAGAGCGTTTTAGTAGCATTTGGTAGCGTTTAGCATTTTTGTGCTGGAAAAACACTCTACAAAACTCAAACTCTACTCTGCTCCTAGAAGCTGAAGCTCACAAAACGCAAATAGCCTAAAGTAGTGTGCATGGACACATAGGATAACACTATCTAGCTTCTAGGGCAGAAAAATGCTAATAACAGCTTCTAGGAGCTTAAAAAAATGCTAGTGTGCATGGAGCCTAATAATGGTTGAATATATCTGATACCATTGGGGTAGGTGCAGCAAATTTACTTATTTTCAGCTTCGGATTGTGGGAACACATTTTTTGTTTGCAGCCACCTTTTATGTTTTTTATTTATTTCATTTTAATTTATTTATCATACTCGGTAACACAGGCATTCCACAATAAGGTAGCGCAGGATTGTCAAATTTACATAGTCTTACACTGTGCACCCTTCCTCCTTTTTTTTTTTTTTTTTTTTTTTTTTTTTTTTTTTTTTGGCTGAGCTCCCAGAGTGCTTGTCTCACATTGAGGAGGTCTTTCAGTTTCCTCGCTGGTTTGGGATCTGGAGCTTGAACATTTCTTAGAGACTTGGGTGGCATGAAATCGCCAATCCTGGGTCCTAGTTTTAGACACGAGACACACTGATTGTGTAGGTGTGTACTGGGCTTCTTGTAGAGTCAGGACTAGGATTCTGGGCACCATCC